TTTACATTATTTGCACTTGAAGTATTATTCTCATCTTTGTTGTTGTTGAACGTATTGGCCGTTATACACTCCGGCTTTCTGTGGGTTCTTGTCGATCTGGGTAACTGTTGTAACCTAAAAAAAAGGTTACTGAATGGTGAATAAACCAAAACGGTGGTTGGAAATGAAATGGTAATCTTTATAACATCAACAAAATACAATACTCGCCAGCGGCGTGAGGGCAGGTAAACCACTACTAGTGGTGGACTACGTAGACACCATATTACACCCCCCACACACACTTACAATAGTGTCCAGCTTATTTATAAGGATTGTTCATAGGTACGGTATATAACACTATCTATCTATCTATCTATCTATCTATCTGTTGTAAGGTAGAAAAGGTTAATAAATGAGGAATAAACAAAACGAAGGTTGGAAATGAAATGGTAATCTTTATAACATCAACAAAATACAATACTCGCCAGCGGCGTGAAGTAGGTAAACCACTGCTAGTGGTGAACTACTCAGACAGCATATTACGTCCGGGTTTCTCTCTGCCCGAAGGCAGAGAGTTCGACATGGCAAGATCTTCCCAGACTGAGAGCTCACGCTGCCAGCGTAGACAGTATATTACGACATTTACCTGCCTCCCCACGAGGTACGATGCGGCACAAGGCCAAATTTAATGTGGGGAAATCGGAGCCCGTGGGCTCGGGCAAAAATTGCCCGTAGATCCCGCATACGCGAGATCGAATATCTGTCTACCTCTCTGAGAGGACGAGGGACTGCCCTTCGGTATAACCTCGACCGGGTTCCTCTCTGCCCGAAGGCAGAGAGTTCGACACGGTAAGAGCTTCCCACGCTGAGAGCTCACGCTGCCAGCGTAGAGAACATATTACCCCCAATTACAATAGTGTCCAACGTATTTATGAGGAATGAGACATATTCTTTAGTGTTCATAGGTACGGTATATAACAGTAACCTTCATGGCATTTCGAACTTAGCCTTTTATTTAATCTAAATTGGTAGATTGTTTACGTTCCGCTGTCCATGTCTAGGGGAGAAATACGTCTTGTTCTTATTTAGTACTGCTCGTTTATTCATCGCCCTGTTTCAACTGAGTTCACACTACTGTTATGAGATCTTACGCATAATAATAATAATAATAATGGACTATTCCATACTTAATAAATACTGTGCCTCAGGAGTAGGCAAGGAGTCAGTCCGTAGTTCACGACTGGCTGATCGGTTGAACTCTCTGCCTTCGGGCGGGGAGGAACCCGAATGAGGCTAAGCCGAAAGGAGGAGTCTCTTTCGGGGAGGTAAACTGACCCTGAACCCGTTTACACGGGTTCAATGGGCATATTTTTGGCCGAGCCAATGGGCTCGGATATCCCACGTTAAACCGGCCTTGTGCCACATGATGCCCACGTAGTCAGTCAGTAGTTCAAGCCGAGTCAAGAGTCGAGTCAGAGGCAGTCCGAAACAGAGTCGCGTTTCAGACAATTACTGCAAGACATTGGAATAGGGATACTGGTCGAGACTACATTGTTCTCCCTACTAAACCTGATTGTTCATACTAACACTTCTACTTCACTGTATATATTCCTGTTTGTAATATATCTGTGTTATTCCATATCCGTATTCGAGTTCTTCTTTATTGGTTCTACCTTGGACTATCACCGTGGTACAAGGAACCGGACCTTAACAACTACCTAACCCAGGGATTATTCCTAATTACTATGCGATATGTGAATTTGATGACATTGTAATTGTGAGTTCAATCCCTGGGTCGGGTAGCGCAGACTTGAATCAGCGGAAACTACCCGCCTCACGGATTGAACTCACGATTACTATGTCACCGAATTCATAAACTAACGCATTATTCCACTAGGCTCAGCTAACAGAGAACAATTTATTCCCGTAGATTATATAAAAGGTTAGTTCCTAGAAGTTTACCCAGATCAATAAATATTTGATGGAGGGTGGAGGACACAACTGGCGAAATTTTTGTGATGAAGAAAATAGTACGAGGGTAAATAATGTAAATGATGGTAACTACTTGTCCCAGGAATTCTGACAGAAATTATCGAATTGATAAAGTAAAATGCTGGGATGATTTGTTGCCAATTAATCTACTAAGAGACGAACCAACTGAAACAGGTATATATATATATATATATTTGTATAATTAGGCAGCAATCCTTCCTTTATGCATGTTTCATTAAAAACGACAGACAAGGTACTACAGTTGAGCTTTTTATTTAATTTTTCTTGTGTTCTGACAAGAGCTTTCTTTTCTGGACAAAGAGTGTTAAGAACTGTCCGAATGTTCTGTGTTTCCGAGCGCTTTCGGCTATACCTTTAGCCATTATCAAGGATGATTCAATTATCAGCTTAGTAGAGTGTGTGTGTTCTATGTATGTTCAGTGTGTGGTAGTGATGTTTTAGTTTCCGAATACGGTTAGCACATTGTGGCTTTGTTCATAATTGATATTGTTAAGAGTTGGCTTTTTCTTTTTTATTATTAGAGCTTCCATTATTTTTAGTCTTTTTTTGCAAGTGGATATTAGTGTTTTCTACTAGTATGTTCCTAATAGTGTCGGGTAAATCTGAGTGTGTGTTTAAATGTGTTCTGATGGAACTGTGATCAGATAGGTGTAATGTAAGACGTCTGGATAAACATGTGGTTGTGTAGCCGATGTAATTATTTATGAGTCCGGTTTGATAATGGCTAAAGGTATGAGGTATTTATGAGTCCGGTTTGATAATGGCTAAAGGTATAGCCGAAAGCGCTCGGAAACACAGAACATTCGGACAGTTCTTACACACTCTTTGTCCAGAAAAGAAAGCTCTTGTCAGAACACAAGAAAAATTAAATAAAAAGCTCAACTGTAGTACCTTGTCTGTCGTTTTAATGAAACATGCATATATATATATATATATATATATATATATATATATATATATATATATATTAAGAAATGGACAAAGTCCGACAATTTATTTATTAAAGACATTTTTATGTTTAACGTTCTTTTTTATAGATACAAGTATTTAAGTAAATGCTCTGTTTATAATAAACAGTATTAAATAACATTTACCGGCCTGAATGTCCGAGAAATTTTCAGTTATGAATGTACGAGATTCATGGAAGATTGAAGTTTATAAGCAGTAAATTCGAACGCTTCTTTGTGGCCGAAACGGTTAAGGCACGTCAGCGTAAATGACGGTTCCGTATAGGATGCAGGTTCGAATCCTGTCAAAGGACGAATATTTTCTATGAAAATTTCTCGGACATTCAGGCCGGTAAATATTATTTAATACTGTTTATTGTAAACAGAGCATTTACTTCAATACTTGTATCTATAAAAAAAAAAACAAAGAAAAAAAACGTTAAACATAAAAATGTCTTTAATATATATATATATATTCATACACGTTTCATTAAATAATATAGACAAGTGTTGCCTGTTTATTTTATGTAAATTTTGTTCGTAACGTCTGATAAGTTTAATAACATTATCGTTGAACGAAGAAAGAAATTCACAATATTGATCCATATTTTTTTTAATGCAATCTAAGCTTTCGGCTTACATAAGCCACTATCAAAGATGCCAATTACAACATATTAAGCAATATACGGACAAGACAGTGATGATAGTCTGTCAATGTTTACATAGATGATTTCTAAGCAACGATAAACACGTGCATATAAGACGCTAGAAGCGAAAATCGCACCGCATCTCATGACGTCACACACGACCACACGAGAGTGAATTGGAGAAGTATGAAGTATGGAAAGCCGTTGGTATAAACCAATGGCTTCTGTTACCAATTATAGACATTTAAGAATATTTGTAGAGATGCCATAATTGATTTTGTTTAGGTTGGGTTTCAACTGTTTGATGTATAATGCTTCAAGGATTTTTAGTTTTTGTCTATTGTTTTCATGTTGAAGTATAATTGTGTTTTCGACATATATATATATATATATATATATATATATATATATATATATATATATGTATATATATAAACCGCAGTGGTATGTGTTTCGCACCTGATCATGTCGGCTTCAGAGAAGCCAGCTGCCGAGTTGACATGAAGTAATCTCCTAAGGGCAGATCCACGTGATCGGCCAAACTGCACCTAGAAGGCACGCGTGGGAGAGAACAGCATAACAGATATATAACCACTCACCCTAGAGAGGAGAAATGAAATCTCTCTCAGACATCGCAGACGAGAATATAAGGTCGACACACACACACACACACACACACACACACACACACACACACACACACATACACACACACACACACACACATACTAGACGATTTTAATCGATAAAAAACCGAAGTTCTATAACGTTACTTATGAGAGATGAAATTTCGTGTTCTCGTTTGTATTGAACGACAATTCTTCATTACAAGTGAAAATGATAATAATAATAATAATAATAATATTCATGTTAATACTTTTTGTATTCTACCCATAAAACGCAAATAAACTCTTGGAAATTCATTTCTTAATATTTATCCTTGTTTTGTTTTTTGTGTTTTGCAGGTTGAAAGTCCAAGTTCAGCTTCCAGTTGTCCGTGTTTCGGAGTTTTACCACCTCAAATGGAAATATTTCATCCCGACTTCCGATGACATGTGATTTGGCGTCGGCCTGATCCCTGCCCGTCTATTTGATTAACCCTCACTTAGACATCATCAGATCTCCGAAAGAGGAAATTCAATAAAAACAAAATTGCGGGAAGCAAAGCCTAATTCGCTTATTTCGTGATACCAGAGCAATGGTTTCCTGTTTTGAAGTCAGAGTTATCGTTCTTGCAGCGTGACGTCCATCCAAGGCTATAGAGTCCAGGCTACCCGGTTATTTAACGCATATTTGGTATATAGCTATCTGCTTCTGTTTTGAAGGACATCTTATTCCCCGAATACATAAACAAAATTTTTTGAACTTTTAGACTTAAAAGAGAAATCATTTGTTAAAAACTAAACGAAAGAAGTTATCCATAAAGTAAAGAAAAAAAAAGAACAAAAATGGATACTATTAGAAGAATATTTACCAAAAAGGTGTCGAAAGACCTTGACAGGAATTCAGACGACAGATATTCTGTTACAGAAGATTTCGCCCGCCAGGTCTCTTCAGCTAATGATGGCGTCGCCGGAAACAGTGAGACCAATGAAAGACGTCGTATTCGATCATTGTCCATCTCACGGTCCGGTCGCTACAAACAGAAAAGGCGAGAACGAGGCGCTTTACAGGACCGACCGGACTTGTACCAAAGTCCATCTAACCAGGAAACCGCCAACGACACGACCACAGGCGAAAGCAAACAAGACAACCAGGCCGCGGCTTGCTGGCAGGCAACTACTGTGAATCCAGTTCCGGCAGGCTCGGAAGGAACAGATTTGTTAAAGAATATATCGAATCGCGACTCAGCAAGCGAATCGCACACCGGTGACGGGGTTCGTGAGAGTGCGACAGGCACGTACAAGCAAACGACTGCTTCTAACAGCAACAACAATAATAGTATTAACAAGAATGTTCGAGCTGGATGCAAAGGGGCCGAATCGAGTGGACGAATGACCACACAAACGGCATTGGTTTAATAATTCTGGAAGCCTTTTACGATATAAATGAGCAAAAGAAGAGACAAAAATAAATGGTATGTAGGTGTGTGTGCGTGAATGTGGAATTTGTATAAAAGATTGGATATATGCAAAGAACAGAGAGAGAGAGAGAGAAAGAGAGAGAGAGAGAGAGAGAGAGAGAAAAAGAAATAGGTGTGGATAATATGAAAGAACACTTGATTTCATTTTTAGTTCTGAGCAAACTTTTCTAGCTCTTTTGATAAACAAAACTGTATATTGCAAAAGAAGAACTGGTCCTCAATTCGCCACACCTTGCCTGTGTGTGCGTACGGAACGTATATGCTTAAGTCTGTGTTGTGCGTGACTGACTTATATGTGCTTGTACAAGCCAGGACTGGTAAAAGGGTCTCTTAGCCTACTCCCAAATCTATGCTACAGACACTCAATTTTCATAAGGTAGTATTCATGTAAATTACAAATAGAAAACATGGATAAACGTGTCCGTGATAAGACATAGCGTGAAAAGGACAGTTTTTTTTTTACCCTAACATTCAGCTGTGTGCCATGCGTGATACACACGTAGGCGATCATATATCTTTCGATACATGACTGATGAGGCAGATTTTTTTCCCGTAGCAGGTTGCCATTTCTTTCTGCGGTAGACCAGATATCATTCAAGGCTATAGAAACCGGTTTGTTCTGCTATTTACCCATAGCTGTGGGGAAAAGAAGAGGATTCATACCTTTACCAAGGGTATTAGAACGTAAGTGATTGTAATGGATTCGACTGGAATTCGAACTCTGTCCTGCTATTTACTCATAGAGGATTCATACTTTTCCCAATGGTATTAGCACGTAAGTGAATATAATGGATTTGACCGGAATTCGAACTTGGCTCTCTGATTCCTCAATCAGTTATGTGCCATGCGTGATACACGCTTAGGCAATCATGTATCATGACTGACGAGGCAGATTTTTTTCCCACAGTAGGTTGCCATTTCTTTCTGCGGTAGACATAGAACCTGCTGTTTGTCCTGCTAGGGGAGAAGAAGAGGATTCATACCTTTCCTAAGGGTATTAGCACGTAAGTGAATGTAATGGATTCGACTAGAATTCGAACTCAGCTCTCCAATTCCTCAATCCGAGCCGTTATCCATTACTCCACCTTGCCTCACTGATTAGTAAATTTAAAATTACATTTAAATTTAAAATGTCAATAAATTTACAATGTCCACACCTGATTAATTTGATATAACTGATTCAGTCAGTTTTGTGCCATGTGTAATATGCACTTAGGCGATCATGTATCTTTCGATAGATGACTGAAGAGACAGTAGGTTGCCATTTCTTTCTGCGGTAGACCAGTTAGCCATCCAAAGCTATAGAACCCGATCTGTCCTGCTATTTATCCATAGCTGGGCGAAGAAGAAGGGTATTAGCACGTAAGTGAATGTAATGGATTCGACTAGAATTCGAACTCAGCTCTTCATTTCCTCAATCCGAGCCGCTATCCATTACTCCACCTTGATTAGTAAATTTAAAATGTCAATAAATTTACAGTGTTCACACCTGATTAATTTGATATCATTGATTCAGTCAGTTATGTGCCATGCGTGATACATGCATAGGCGATCATATATCTTTCGATACATGACTGACGAAGCAGATTTTTTTCCCGCAGTAAGTTGCCATTTCTTTCTGCGGTAGACCAGTTGCCATCAAAGGCTATAAAACCCAATCTGTCCAGCTATTTACCCATAGCTGCGAGAAGAAGAGGATTCATCCCTTTCCCAAGGGTATTAGCACGTAAGTGAATGTAATGGATTCGATTGGAATTCGAACTCGGCTCTCCGATTCCTCAATCCGAGCCGCTATTCGCAATCGCACCGCTTTTTAAACTACGTTCGGCAATGTTTATTTGTCTATATCTCTGAGATGATGTATTACGATTATTTATATTATTTGCATTATTCGAACTGTTAACCTCATCTTTTTTGCCATATTCACAACGTTTCGACCGTTGTACGTTCCGGCCTTCTTCAGGTGATTGGAATTTCGAATCGAACACTTTATTTCATCCACCGGGGGTAGACATATGGGAGAGCCATGGCACGGGGAACTCGGTGGACGAAATAAAGGTCTCGGTTCGAAATTTCAATCACCTGAAGAAGGCTGGAGCGTACAACGGCCGAAACGTTGTGAATATGGCAATGAAGATGCGGATAACAGTCTGAATAATGTAAATAATGTAAGTAATGTTTATTGTTTATTAAAGCGATGATTAGAATTGTAATAAAACCTGAACACATCATGAAAATGAATTTATACATTTTGTTTTGTTCTTGAGAATTTACAACAAAAAATATTGAAAAATAATATTATTTAATATTATTTATTATATTATATAAAAATACTATTTATTTATTAGATTATTTATTTACAAGAATAATTTTATATTTGAATCATTCTAAAAACTCATACAATTAAAACTAATGTAATACAATATTTATCATTTACCAATTTATAAAGAAATAAATATGAAAAATTTTTATTCATAAATTTATAAACATTTACAAATTTATTAAAACATGTGAACCAACTATAAGGAAATCCTTGTTATTTACCATTTTATAAGGTTCGAATTAAGGTTCGCAATTAATCGATGTTTTGTCAACCATTCCAATAAATAACATAATAAATAGTATAAATAAACAATCTGATAGTGTTTATTATTTTTATTGTTAATTCTCAAGAACAAAGAAAATGTATACGTTTACTTATATTAACACAATTCTAATCATCACTTTTTAAAACAATAAACATTGCCGAAGAGTGACAGTATTTAAAAAAGCGGTGTCATGAGAAAAACCGTCCTTTTGATACCCCGTCTTATTGTGGGCACGATTATCCATGTTTGCCATACAAATTTTATTCTACTAACCTAATTATGTACAATAATTCCATATGCGATACAGGAGAACAATTCAACTAGAAAAATTGAAAATAAATACAGTGTATCTAAATGCAAATTTGAGAGATGTCATAATAGACCAGCACATAAATAAATCCAGTAAGGATAAAAAATAGTGAATTTCATATAGTGTGCATGTTTTAGACTTTGCATGCGCAAAAGAATAATGCCAAAATTTGCAGAAATGTTTCATCCTTTAATAACCAGTTGTGCTTAGATTAAATTGGGTAAAAAAAGAAAAAAATATTGATAAGATCGCGAGGGTCACAAAGCATTGCCCGGGACTCCAATCAGGATTGGGCCTTTCTTGTCGGGTTTGGAAGTCATACGCATCGGCCCTGACACAAGCACACTCATGCGCACAAAATTTGACTAAGACATTGGAATAATACATTCCTCTCCTACTCAGTCTGGATAACACCTATCTTGGGCTGAGCAATAAAATCATACATTTGATGACAAAGAAAGAAAAACTTTATTTAAACTCTAAAAGATTCAAATAATTATAAGATTTTATTGAACTTTTTGGAAATTATTCGGTAATAAATAGAATTATTTTTAATTTTTTTTTTTAAATTTTGTAGAAATATTAATATTTTAGGTTTGCCGGTGATCCTACATGCATACACGATTTGGATGAAATGGAAATCTTCTTCTATGTGCCGTGGATCCTTCAGAATGAAGGCTCTCCACGATTTTCTGTCTTTTGTACCACTTTTGTCTTTTTATCCTCTCTCCAAAACCCTGCTCTGCCATCGATTCCCTCAACCTCACCAGGTAGGCTGTACGTTGCTTTCCTTTAGCCCTCTTACCTTCAGTCTCTCCTGTGAGTATCAAATTCTCCAAGCCCTCTTTCCTCATTATTGTTGTGGCCTTGTTAGGGCCAGAAATAAAGACACAAAGAGAGGAATTGAGTTAAACAAATATATAAACAGAATACAGTAATACAAACATATACAAACGAGGGTGTTATAGTGATTTTCCAAGCTAGATTGGATATGGCACAAGGCCGAAAGTAAGGAGCACCCAGTGAGGATTGAACTCACTACTCAGTCGTAATTGTTCTAGCGAGACAAGCTTGTTAACCATTACATCACCTCGAGGTGCCCAAACGAGAGTGTTATAGCAAGAATGTTCGGTCCGACTGTCAGAGCTGACTGCTGCAAACTTCACCCTCCAAAAGGCAGTACCTGCTCCTATTTATAGCTGGTAGAGTCCATGCGTGCGTGGGTAAATTACCATAACAATTATGTCCTCCAGAAATTTCAATTGTCTCTTCCTAATTAGAAGCATAAGTGTTCTTTTTGTTGCCATTGTCTCTAGAACTTCGTTGTTGCTCACATGTTTGGTCTATGGTATTCTCAGCATCCTTCTGTAGAACAACGTTTCTGTTTAATAGACATTTGTATCGCGAGGGCTGATTTCTCTTTTTGTTTTCGCAACAAATTCTGGGTAATAGGAAAATAGGATAAACCGAAATGTGTGGCTCGTTGAAGTCATTTTTAGGACTACTGTATTAAAACGGAACATATTTTCTAAAAAATGGATAAATAATTTATAAGTTAGATCATCTTGCTATTAGCGAAGCGACAAATACAGAAGTCATCATCCTCCCCTTGACCTTTGTAATCGTAGGGCGGATCCGAATACAGAAGCCACACTAACTCTTTTCCACAACGGTCTATTGACGGCACCCATAAGCAATTCTGGTACAGTCATACCGGTCCATTGTTTGAGATTGTCCATCCACTTTTTTTTTGTGTTGGCGTCCTCACCCACGTCCGCCTTCAATGGTGCCTTGCATGATGGTCTTGCACAGGCTGTCGTGTCTTGTAATGTGTCCAAACCACGCCATGTTTCTCCGTTTGACACTGGCGAGAAGAGGTTCCAAATACAGAACTACTGAAATACAAAAGAGAAAATAAAGTAAAAATTGCTTCAGACCTCATTCGAAAGGTAGCATCCATTAACATTATTGTGACATTGCTATAAAGACACATATCCCTTGTAAACTTGTTTTCATTTATCATAGAATTGACTAATCAGCAGGATGGCCTAAAGAAAACTTGACTACAGAAGTTCACCTCCATCGCTGACGTGTGATCGGCAGCATTTCCCTGGTGGGGACAATAAAATTTGACCGATACAGATCTCATGCGTTGTGACATTTATTACTAGCAAAGCTCCCACCGGGTGAGAAGATAAGTTTTGATTTTCAGTGAGAAATCGAGACGGCACGGATATGCGGTATTGG